TTGTATTGTTTGAGAAGAGAGGGGATTACGTAACGCGAGCGAAAGAACAAGTGGACAAAGAACTCTTTTTGACACTCGAACAAAGACCAACTTTTGTTCCTTCTTTATTTCCTCGTTTTTGCCCTTTTATTTCTTGAGAAATGTTTTTTGGGATCGCGTGATCGATTCTCATAAAATTCTCTTACGATTTTTTTTTTTCATTTCAGAGAATTAGAGATGAGTGTGTTTGAAGATACAGCTAGTGCAAGCTTTGAGGTGAGTGGGTTTGAAGTTTTTTTAAAATTCCATTTCCTTCTTCAAACTTTTGAAAATAAGTTTTTGATCGATTTTTATAAATTAAGCCAGAAATTGCTATGCAGTGGAAAATTCAGCAGTTTTAGTTATGTCCGAAATATCAAGTTGAATACGTGCATGAGTGCATTCATGTCATCGGTCGATATCCGGAGCAATTTTATGAATGATTATTTCATTAAATTTTAATGCTGATTTTAATAAATTTTTATTCCGCGGTGGCAATACTGTATCATGAAGCGTGGTAAGCAATCGTTTCTTTTCTGAACGGAGTGCTTTTAATTTGTTTTTCGATTGCAGGTTTGCCGGGTCAACAAGGGTACAAAGTTTGGGAAAGGAGGGTCGACTTTCCGTCTCCACGATTTCTTCGGGAAAACCGGGGATGAAAATGAATTCTATCGTAGTCTCGACCGTCTGGAAGCAGCTGCGAAAATGTCCAGCTACATCCAATCTTCTTACGAGGTTTGTCTGATAAATGCAGATGCGTCTGAAAAAAAAAGAGAATTTTTAATTCTATTTTATGATTTCCAAACAGGAAACTGTGGGAGATATGCTGAAGAAACTAACACTAGCGTTGGACGGGGAAATTGACAAGGTCATGGAGCAATGGGACAATGAAGGGAATGAAACTGAGAAGCAGGTGCCCACATTTGGCCTGAACTTTGGTATGTCGAACTCTGAGGAAACATCCTGAAAATTAAGCTAATTTCGGGGGTTTTCATAATTTTGCGACGAAATTCGTATTTTCCAATTTTACCTTATCTGCTCTAGTCCGACTTCACGCAACGACGTGATTAAATTCAACCATTCACTGTAAAAGTCGGGGGTAGGTAAGAAGAGACTGCATTTTTATAGCTTTGATTACATTGGATTTTCCGAATTGAGTCGTGTTTCGGATAATGGGCATAATCCCTAATGTAAATCTATGTTCTGTTTAACATTTGTGCCTAGTTTGCGCAAGGTAAAATCTTTCCAAAACATAGATAGGGAGAAGCAACTAATTCTATTGTTTCAGGATTTTTAGCGGCATGTCCGAGGGTCTTGGTAATGTTTCCCGAATTATTCAGTGAACTGCAGAATGAGAGAAAAGAAATTTCCTGTGATTGCCAGAGTTTTGCACTCATTTCAGAATATGCTGAAAATTTGAAAAATCATTCAACGAATGATTTTTCAACCGAGTTGAATTTCAATGTGTACTATATTTTGTTTTTGAAGTCACAGGAAAGGTTCAATATTTTTAGGGTTTGTTTTAACACGCTAATGAAAGGAATCGTCGGTTTTTTCATTATTAAAGCAGCAGTTTTTTTTTCAATTCTCCAATTGTTTTCTTTGTTTCTCCGCACTTAGGAACAAGGTTCTGGAAAATTCATTATTAAGAATGAGCGAATCTGAAATTGAAAATGTCTCTAAAATTGAGGTTAACAATTGGAAAAAGCTCCCCAAAAAACGAAGAAACGTAAAATCATGCCTTTATCATTAATCAGGAGCCATGGGCCACTTGGAATCGGAATTCATGAAAACGTACGCCTCGTCTGTTGGAAAAAGAAAGCTTCGTCGACTGAAACCTGTGCGAATTGGTGGAGGAGACGACTCAGTCGCCATCACACGTCGTCTTCGGGATGTCGTTTTAAAGCATTCTGGAACCAATGCTGGCTTTGAAAGTGACTCGGGTGTTTCATCGAGTCAAGTAATGCAATGAATCTGTTCGTTTATTTCCTAGAAGCAAAACTGAGAAAAAAATTGGGTTATTTTCTTGTGCTGTATTAGGACGAAGGAATAGTGAAGGCGATGCAAGACATGATTGCTGGGGTTCTGGAAAATTCTGAGGAGGATAAGGAGAACAAAAGCTCGTCGAAAAAGCTGAAGCGATGCACGAAGGCAGAACTGACACGAAAAACGTGTACAGTTTTCCTAGTGGAGGGATGTGAGACTATGCCAGCGAAAAAGCTTAGGGAAATTGTCTTGTGTGGCATGTGAGTCGCTTTTCTTGTTTGGTTGATAATCATTTCCAGAAAGAAAAAAATACTTTAATGAGTGACCGAAGTGGGCAGCTTGAATGTACAATAAAGTACTGTACTTCATTTATTATTCATGAACTGCAATATTTTTGTGTCTTGGAAGAATGAGTCTCTTTTAGTACAGTGATGTCTCTTACAACAAATCTTTTTCCTCCCCGAAGAAATTTTCTGTCGAACTTTTCAGATTTGCAGGAATTTACGAGTTAAAAAAGGGGGAGGTATTTATAGCCAGGTAAGATTGTCAATTTTTTTTGTTCAAAAATTTAAGATATTGGAAACCCAGACCGAATTAAATCTGGGGTTATACAAGGTTAGTGACTCAGTCCACTAAATGGAACTAACAGCTTCCCGTGGAAAAAAAAGGACGAAAACCTATATTACACGTGGACTCTTACTACGAAATTCAAGGGACCCAAAACAAATTTCGTTATAGACAGAAATTCGTTTTAAAGAGCCTCTATGGGACCAAAAACAAATTCTTCATCCAGAAAAATTCGTTGTAGAGTGAGTCTACCTCCTCTGGCTGAAATCCATTTTCAATTATTTTCTCGTGTGACCAAGA